GATGAATTTGGGAACCTAGATTTTGAGCGATCTCAGCATGGTTCTGGAATGAGCAATAGGTCAACAGCAAAAAGATTTATTTCTGCTCTCAACAACATTGCTGAAAGAACTTACAATAATTTATTTCAATTTCATCAACTTCGGCAGATTGCCAGAGAGCTAAATATTCAGGTATGATAAACTAAATACTAAATCTTTTTTATGTCAGTAGGTCCTTATTAACATATAATAGAATTTTTAAATATCAAAAGATTTGGATTAAAAGAATGGAATAGGCATTTTGGGAAACAAAAAAAGGCTTGTTTTCTTTACTTAAGCTATCAAACTAACTGTGTAGAGCTTTAAAAAAAGTTTTTATCTTTACCTACCTCTTTTCAAAGTTTTTTCAGTATCATGATAGTTATGGGGAAACATGTTATTCTGACAATTTCTTGTGGGCAAGTCATCTTAATGTCTTTTAACCTCAGTTTCTTCATTTGTTATATGGACATGGTTCTACCTGCTCTACCAACAGAAAAGTTTGGTGAAAATGGATGTAATAAGACTTCTTTGTTTATTTATTAATGCTTTTGTTGTTGTCAATCCTCACCCAAGGATATTTTTTCCATTGATTTTTTAGAGAGAGTGGAAGGGAGAGGGGAGGAGGACAGAAACAGAGAGAGAGAAACATCTACTGGTTGCCTCCCGCACTTGCCCTGGGGATTGAACCTGCATCCCAGGTACGTGCGCTTGACCAGAAATCGAACCTGTGACCTCTTGGTGCTCGAGCTGAGGCTCTAGCCACTGAGTCATGCCAGCCAGGGCTGTTTGTTTATTTTTTAAATTTATTTTTAAAATTTATTTTAATTATAGTTGACATGCCATATTATATTAGTTCCAGGTAGTATACAATATTCATTCAACATTTATATACCTTACAAAGTGGTCACCACAATAAGTCTAGTAATCCTCTCTCACTATATATAGTTACTATATTATTGACTCTATTCCCTATGCTGTACATTATATCCCCCCATGATTTATAAAAAGGGGAAGGAGATTAAGAAGTATATCCCCGGGAGATATACTTCTTAATCTCCTTCCCCTTTTCCGCCATGTAAAACAGTTTATATGGAAAATTGCCTACTTAATTTCAAAAGTTAGTCAAATTTTTGTTTGGATGTTAAGCTAAAACAAATATAAAAGATTCTCTGCATTATAGAATCCAAAGCTCATATATAGGCATTTTTGTCCATAAGTACCTATAATTTTATTTGCCCAAGAAACTTGACAGTTGTACATTTTTGAAAGATTAATTTTAAAAATCATATTTTTGAACATTACTTAGTGGGCTCTTTTTATTTTGTTTTGTTTGGGCTAACTCTTTTGATGTTTTCTTCCAGGTTGCTGATTTTGAAAATTTTATTGGATCACTAAATGAGCAAGGTTACCTCTTGAAAAAAGGCCCCAAGGTTTATCAGCTTCAAACTGTATAAAAGGACTATCAAGCTAGGACCTCCTGGGTTTATTAGCATTTTAAAGCCATGTCAAGAATGAAGAATATGCAGAAAAAATACTGTTCTGAAAAATGACATCCCAAAAGTAATATAATAGAGTGTTGAACTAATTAAAAAAGTGATAGTTATTTGTTAATTTTTACAGTTTCTTCTACAGATTAAAAATAATGTTTTTAATCTAAATGATGTAATTATAAATTACTTACAGTTTTGTTTTTGACCTGTCTTTGATTCTTTTTTTTTTTTTTTTAAATTAAATTTATTTGGGGTGACATTGTTTTCTTTTAGTCTTATATTTCATAGTTTTTTTGTTACTCCTCACCAGAGAATATTTTTTTCCACTGATTTTTTTTAAAGAGATTGGAAGGGAGGGAAAGAGGAGGGGGAAGAGAGAGAAACATCTATGTGAGAGAGACACATCAATTGGTTGCCTCCTGTATGTGCCCTGACCGGGGCCAGGAATGGAACCTGCAGCACGCGTATGTGCCCTTGACCGGGAATCGAACCCACAGCCCTTTGATGCGCCAGGCATTAAAACCTGTACTTCCATATTCCCTAATTTTCTGCTGAATTTCAGCTGTGTTCCTATTTACCTCCATTTTTCTAAAGGACATGCAATATTGCTACTTCTTAAATTTTCAGTTTTAAAAATCATTAACTTCTGACTACAGGTCAGAATGTTGTTCTCTTAAACCCTCTTACATACATATTACACACTTGACCATTTCTTTCCAATTTAGTTATATACCACAATTTTTAATTAAATCTGTATTTAGCCCTTACATTATTATAACGAATATTATTCATTTCCTTGTACTTTTTGTTTTCTCTAGAATTAATAATTAATTTGTTTTTTAACTACTTAATTTTCTATGTACCTACCACTAATTTGACCCTAAGGCTCCACTGCAAGTCTAAGTCTCTTTTCAGACGTACTAACAAATCGAGTACTATAGGCTATTTTAACTTCTTGGAAACTGCTCTCCTAAAGACAAAGACTTTGCTTTACTCACTGCTGTTGCTCAACAGGTAGAATAGATTTTGATCACATACTGCCTTTCCTGCTCCCCTACTCTTCTCCCAGGCACGTTAACTTTTACCTACCCTTCTCTCTCCTAAGCTCCAACGGCCCCTTCTTTTGCCTCTGTAACTTGTTTCCTGAGCCCATTTTTCTTACAGTTCACTTCTTGTAACTCTGTGACTTTCTAAAACTTTATCTTATAGTTTGAGTCTTGGCTCTGAATTCTTAGCCAGAACTCAAGCACAGAGGTTGCTGAACCAAGGTGCCATTCTGGTGCCATTTTCCCTGATACCAACTAATTTATGATCAGAACACCCTGTGATGTTACTTTTAGTTACTGAATTTGTATATACCACTTTTGTGTCCATGTGACAACACAAGAGACATAGACAAAACAATGAAAAAACCCAAGAATCCATAGGCTCAAGAAGCTAGCTTCACAAATATTTTCTCCTGCCAATCTAAATTTAGCTCACTACTTCTAACTTCCACTGAACCTTGCAGACAGATCAGGGAGGCTGTCAGGATAAGAAGCTTAGCTCTGGCTGGCTGTTTGTCACAGACCTCTCAGCTGCAGCAGTCCTGGGAGCTAGCAGTGTTCTAGCCAGTGAATTCTGGCTGGCTCTCCAAAACTGGGGGAGGAAAAATAATTTTTCTTCCACCCTTCTAGGTTGTTCTGCCTGGTCTAAGAATCAAATGGACATGAGACAGATTAGCAGAATGTGGAAAAAGGGGCTACATACTAAACCTGATAAGCTCAGAGGAAGACTGCATGGTGGACCTTACAAACTCAGAGACCTAAAGTAACCACATAGGGTGGTATAAACATAACTAAAAGCTGGTCATGGCAGGTAGTCATGTCCTAGGCCTATATCTTCCTTGACAAAGATAAATTTTTACCTTTAGTGAGCCTGCCTATTGTCTTCCTTGCATCTAAGGTAATTTTTGCATCTAAGATTACTTTGAAATGTCTATAGAGTAATTTTCTTTTCCAGAGCCCTCAAGGCACAACTGCTAGCTCCAGAGGAGACCACAGAACTCCTCATTGTTACCTTCCTTCAGACCACCTCTCTGTGCTATAAATCCTATTAACTGTCTTATACCCATCAGTGTGAAAGAAGTATGTTTCTCCATTTTGCTTTTTATCCAATCACAGAGATTTCCCTGCTTTGCTTTCTCCCACCCTCTTAATCTACCACCAATTTCATGTAACCCTCCTTAATGTCGTCTCCTTTTATTCTAATGTATAAAATAAGCTGCAAATCTGCTATTCCAGAACATTTTTGTCACCATGTGCTTGCACACATCAAAGTCCAATAAGATTCGAACAGGAGTTGGCAGCAAAGAAAGTAAAGGTTTATTTTAAGGAAACAGTGCCAAGCCCAGAGTCACAGGTAAGCAAGCACTCTAAAACCTAGCTCCCATGCCCTACCCGGTTTGGCTCAGTGGTTAGAGTGTCGACTCATGGACCAAAGGGTCCCGGGTTTGATTCTGGCCAAGGGCACGTACCTCAGTTGCAGGTTTGGCCTTGGTTGCATGCATGCTCAGCCCTTGTCGGGGTGTGAGCAGGAGGCAACCAATTGATGTGTCTCTCACATTGAAGTTTCTCCCTCCCACTGTCTTGAAAAAGCAATGGAAAAAATATCCTCGGGTGCAGATTAAAAAATAATAGTTTAAAAAAAAATAAAACCTAGCTCCCTGATGGTTCATATGGGAATGAATTATATACAGAAAAAATTATTAATCATGGGGAGTTAAGGGAGTTAAGGTTGTGAGCTTTACCTATTGGTTGGGGCTAGGGTAGGGGGTAGTTGATCACTGTATCAGGTCCTGATGTCAACCGTGACATCATTCTGTCTAGTGTCATGAGGGTGTGGTAACACGACTGAGGTGGTCTCTTTAATTTGACCAAAACTTTTTTGTGGTCAGTAGACCTGAGCCTTTCTTGTTCTTCAGACAGTTTTGATGATGACCAGAATCTGATGTCATAAGGGCTTAATGTAAAGGAAAGGAATGGATGGGCAGGTGAAAGGGTCATGTTGAAGAAATGGAGTTTTTGTGCAGTTACGTTTTCTCAATCCACTGAGATTTTATTTCCCAGCAATCATCATTTTGGCTCAGATAAACTCATCAAAGTTCTCTACAGGTTTAGATGTTTCTCAGGTGGACACGGAGAAAAGCAAGTTTAAATTTGATGACGTGTGTACCCCATGTATATATGGGAGAGACCCGAGAGCACTGAGTAGATGGCCAAATGGGAGGAGCCATCACTTTCTGCTAAAAAACAAAAGATGTTGGAGGTGGAGAATCAGGAGAGATTACCAAGGAAAGCACTGTCAACAAGGGTAAGATTGTTGTATATATTTAATCCATGCCTTCTCCATCGATGGTGAAGATGGTCCTGGTACCTGAGGGAAACACGCTTACAAGTGGGGATTTCCCTTATAAAAGTCAATATCCTTTCAGGAAGAGTAGCTTCTACTTGGTCTTCAGCGCTTCTCCCATGTCTGCTGTTAAAAAGGACCCAGCCTAAAATAGCCCCTTTGGGAGTGGCAAACGGCTCCCCTTCAACAGCAAGAAACATTCAAATTCAATTTGACTCAGAACTGAATAGGAAAACAGTTCTGCAACGTTGGGACATTACTGAACGTTAACATCAGTAAGTATAATGTATGACACATACTGTATTAATGTATAATATCAACCAGTTAATGAACAATTAACATTATTATTTTGGATATTTCTAATAAGTTTTTAAGCTCTCTAAGCCTAGGTTTCCTTATCTGTAAAGATGTAAAGGTAATAATGGACCCTGTCTTAGAGTTGTTGGGAGTAGGAAGTAGGATAATGCACTAATAATATATATAGCTTGCTTATAATGAACGCCCCTTTTAGGTTATTACTGACATTTTCCTAAAACCCTTATTTTTGGCATATGCAACACTCAGAAGAGGGAGAAGAGCTGGGAGTGAGCACCGATTACTTTTTCGGGCAACTTTATCAATGTTTAAACCTGGGCCCGGAGACCGCCGCGCGCACCTGAAGGGGAACCTCTGCAGGGAGAGTTTCAGG